GGCTGTAATGACGTCTTCAGTAGCAGCACAATAGTGTTATTTTATAATTCATTGTGCATAGCAAAAAATCAACACCCGTAGTAGCAAAATTTCAAAAAAAAATCGCATGTACTACAAGTTCTATCTACTTCAAACAATAACGTTTGCTTAATAAGTGTGTTATCGATCCCCATTTACAATGTATATTTTATCAAATCCTTATCAATTAATTTAGTGTTGAATTCCCGAATACTTAGAATCTTTCGCTTAAATTAATTAACCGATAAATAACTAAGCTTTCACTAAATTGTGCCTTAAAAGGTAACTGTTTATAAAATTTAGTCTCATTTGCCTGCTAATATTAAAAAACACTGTCTTCATCACAAGCATTAAAATAATTTTCATTAAGAATCATTTCGATTCTCGCTATAAAATCCGGAGGTGTGTTGTCGTTAAATTTGTCGTAATGCCGAATGAGTAAAAGAGCAATGAACATGTCTATTCACCCCGTTTTCAATGTATTACGGGTAAATATTAAGTGAGATTTACTTCTACAAGTGTTCTGAATCTAATTATTTTCTTATTTTAGTACATAAATGTGAGAGACCTAATACAACTACACATTTCTAATAAATGTCTTGATTCTATCGGTTGACTAAAATTTCTATGATAACAGAATACCTTGATATCTGTATAAACTCTACGAAAGGTAGTTAGATTAAAATCAACAGAATTCATGATAAAACCAATGAATATTTCCCACTTTTCATTCACTTACTTAATAGCATAGTGATGGTGTAGATCCAGAAATTATTTATACTATTATTAATTCACAGTAAAAAAAATTAAAAATATAGAGCTTATGTTAATATGTCACACTTCATTAAAATTTCAATACACTTAGTAGGTTAAATATGCAACGCTGAATACTGACTAAAAGTCTCAACATTTGCTGTCTGCATGTGTTATCTTCAATTAAAGAATGGATCTAGTGCCCGTTCGTAAGTAGCAAATGTAAACCGGCGGAAAATGATAGTTCTTTTGTTTTGTCTAGGACTCTTTTACATAGTTCACATACAGTCGCTTTATGGACTCGATCCATAAATTCTAGCCACCTTGGCTGACTCTCTACAAAGGGTTAGAATATAACTATTCGCTTGAGTCAGTTCGCGATGCCTTATGACGATAATCTACCTTATAGATAATATCTTATACGGTTTCAACTACTTTGGACTCTAATAAAAACGACTTCACGTCGGAATACCAGAGCTACAATAAAAACGTTAGTTACTAGCTGACAATCAATCATTGTTTATGTGATTAGATGTTGATATGGGGTGAATTCATGCTTTGGTTTTGCTACAGACTGATTTAAGATGGTAAAACCTATAGCACTAACGACATGTAAAAGCGAAAACTTTTCCAACTTTTACCTTTTCGCAAATAAAGAATACAGTTCCTCTTGGCTTTTAAGTGATTCCGGAGACACTTTACAAAGGCTTATTGTATGTTGTCCTTCAAGCTAATCACTGTCTATGGTTTGTGAGTTACAACGGTCAGGTTGGCTTATAGAGATGTCTCAACTATGTGTAATGAATAATGCTGATCGATGGTTAAAGACTTAATAATTTAATATAACCATCAGATCAAGTATTAATTTCTTTTCAAACTTTCTGCTTATCTTAGCAATCTTATGACTAAACAAGATGGATTAGTATGACTTAAAATTTGCCATTAAAGTAGATATATATTCTATAAGATCGGTGACTAAGAAATCTATGCAAACAACAAGACGTATTAACAGGACACTCTAACATTTGCATATTTTAAAATAATGAGTTCATACCAAGTTTGATCTGTAAATAACATGTTTTTGGATAGGTATACACACCTCAGTATTATGATAATAAAGGCAGGAAAAACTAAGACAGTATATTCTTTCTCAGTTTATTGACGGATCGTACGAGCATTTTGTCGTCTTTGAGGACATTGAACTTGCATGCGTACATGTAAACAACTATATTTGTATTATTAAAATCCTTCATCAGCTGTGAGAACGAAAGTTATGTTTAGTTTTTCTTTTATTACTGTTATATTAGGCCAAAATGGGTTGTGTAACTCCAGTTAATATGGTTGTAACTATACAATTACTAATAATTCACAAATTGTGGTTGACAACTACTGAATTTAATAGAATGATATTTTAATCTATTCATGGTTATCTGTAATCGATTATCTGTTACAGCACATCGTAATGCAGAAAATACCATTATTTAAACAATTCTTCAAGTGCTTGTTAGAAAAATATATTACATCATAGAAATTGTTCCAAACATTTAAGATGTAAGTAGCCACTACAACTTGTTTACTGTATACCCATGATGGATCATGGGTTCAAACGATTACTTGTATTCACGGTAGAAATTGAATTTCTCAACCTCACATCTAGTAAATGCACTTTGAGGTTGTTTAAGATACTTTAAGTAACCATTATACTGGAATCTCGTGTCAGGTGTTAGAAATTGATGAAAATTGTCAATAAATATATACCATCAAATTCGTGGCTCATAAATGTACGGTTGTGTACATAGTTATCTTTGTAATATGTGGTGATCTATTCACGATTTCCTTGAACTGTCGAAAATAGTGATGTTTAATTGAACTAATAAAGGAATGAATGAGCTATTAATTCACGAGTTCATTCATTCCATCCTAAAACAATTGAATATATATTGTATTCAGCAAAATATTTCGCTTATGTGTATATACTTCTTTATGACTAATTCTCTCATTATTTCATTGGCATCACGTGCTTGGACGCACTAGATTTATCTGTATATTGCTTTTATAATATTTGCCTAAGTAAGCTGGTACATATTACAATATCAAAAGGGATATTATGATATGCAATATATTTGATTATTTCCAAACGTTGAATTGCTAAAGTAACTGTCATCTCACTGATAACAGAAAGATTTCCAGGATTTATATTTATGATAGTAATAATTTAAAGAAAAAACATAGTTACTCAAAAGACAGCTGGATTTTTAAGTTACAGTTTTGATTATTTCTACAGAAAATTATCATTTTAGTTCTCAGTGCTAATTCCCACCATTTTCCTTAACATAACTAAGTATGTCATTCTTTGCTACTGCATCCTATTTGTTTTATGACTGAAATATTTAATTATGTCTATCAGTTGACATTTAACGCTAGGTACAATTTTTAACGGTATTCTATGTCATCATCTGCTTCATGTTCTATTCAGAAAGATTTAGAAGGAGAAAAAAGTGCCGACGAACCGGGATGAAGGTCACTTCATCAAGATGCCAAAGAAGATTCGAACAAATGTAAGACCTACAGAGGTATCACACTATTATCAGTACCGGCAAAGGTTTTCAACAGAATTTTGCTAAATTGAATGAAAGATTCAGTGGACGTCCAGCTCCGAGATCAACAGACTGGATTCCGTAAGGATAGGTCGTGCACAGACCAAATCGAGACACTAGATCATCGTTAAACAATCAACTGAATGGAACTCATCGTTATAGATCAGAAGGATGAATAGAAACTAAAAACAACTGGAAAGGGTCATGCAGAATAGAGTACGATAGGTAATCCTGGTCAACGGTCTATGGTCCTTTACGAGGAGGGTGACGTGCATAAGTAAGTACTATGTCATAATTTACTATTAAATTAATTTACTGACTTTTGGTTTTTAACTTTTATGTTACTACTTTCATGAACTATTAAAATTATATTTCCAGAGTTGTTTGCACTAGGAAAACTACTCTTTGTAAAAATTACCTTCACAAAAAATTTAATTTATGATTACAATAATTGCACTATTCTACTGAATAATTCTCTGAAATATTACCTTTCAACTCAGTAAAGTTTAGATATTGATATAAAATTTTGAAACAATTGTGTTATGTTTCGATAATAATATTAAAAAACGAAGATTATCAGAACTATGCGATATATAAGCGCAATACATTTCGAACAATCTGGTCACACATATACTTGTTAAGAGTATTTATGTATAAAAATAAAAGGTCAACTAGACAGGAAACGGGGTAAGAGGAGATAAGGATAATGATAAGAGTAATAATAATAATAATGTGAACACAATTTGAAACCTAATCACTCTGGATAATAAGTCAATATTACCAGGGTAGATTTAAGGTAAGAACAAACTGTTTTTGAACACATAAAGGGGGTTTGAATTTTCGTATGGCTAAGGCTTCAATAAACCTTAGTATATGCCCTTTTACACTTTTATACAGCACTACAAAAGCTGAATTTAGATCAATCTTGTGACCTGTTTCAACTATATGTTTAGCAATAGAGGATGATGGATGTTTATCCTCTGCTCTTATTGGGTCACTTGATTGTATTTGTTTCTGAAGCCATTTGGGTACATGTTCACTCACCCTAATGTTTAGATCACGATTACTCCTCCTTATGTATGTATCTTCGTCTTCTAATATCATTATCGAAATTTATCAAAGGGACTATTTGTTTTAAATTATGTTATGCCTCGATAAGCATAATGAATGGTAACTTTTGAGATCAATTATGGACCAATACTATGCGTATATTGTTAAATAACTAAACTGTTCATATTGGTGTCCCTCTTATAATAAGCTTATTTTGATCTATGAACTACTATTATACAATTTACCATTCTTGAATTATGCCCTGTCTATTAATCACTACCTTCCACATTCAGAGCCACTTTTGGCCAAATCTTGTTCAAATGTTGCTTTCTATATATGGTACATTGTGGTCTGTTTGATTGATATATAAACTTAGTGTGTTTGAAATATAATGATTCATATCACAGAGGCTCAAATTGGTGTTCTGGAATCAACTGACTGGGTTAGTCAGGAATCAGGATCGATAAGTATTCTAGACTGTTTGTACGGGTTTTACGCGTCATTGATCATTGCTCTCTCATTGGCGGTATCATTACTTTATACATTAACAGAGCACACAGGCCACAAATTAAAACAAATTGATATTAAATATTTTTCTATATTTAAAACAAAATACAAATAAATGATTAAATTAAAATCTTATTTTACATATAACTAAAAAATATTAAATATTCTTAAAAAATAATTTGTCTACACTCATATATAGTTTATCCATAATTTTATGATACTACTGTGTTATTTGTTTCAAATCTGAAAATTTAAAAAAAAATGACGATTCAAATAAACAACAAACTAAAAAATTACAAAACAGAGTTTCTAAATGAAAAAACAAAAAAAGAATGATCAATCATTAAACAAGAAATAAAGAAAAAAACTTTTTACGGGAAATTTGATTGTAAAGTGTGATCGATAAACGAACTCGTCAATGATAAAGTGAAACGCCAACCAACTTTTTTTGACCTTGTATGACTATGTCTTGTTTATTTATCAATCACAATTTTATGTTCATGATAAAATAATATTTGCTATGTTGACTCATTTTCCCTATCCTCTAGTTACTGTTCCGTATGTTATTTATGTCTCTGTTTTTCTCTGTGCTAATAGACTGTACTGTTTGTTTTGTACACTAATGGTGTTAATTTATATTTTTAAGAAACAGATAAAGTTTATCAAGCCAAATAGTTTATTTGTTCTGATTTTGGCTAAACCAAGACTCTGTGTTCGACAGTCTAGAGAATAGCTTAGAGTTACACCTGTAGGAAATCGCTTCCTACATTGGTATTAAAAAGTGTATTAAAACTGTATTGTCACTATGTAAATGTTAAGATAGTTTTTTTTTACTTAATGAACATTATTTGTCGAAAATTTTATGAGTAATTTCTTAAATACGATTCAAAAATTCGTTATCTTTTTTATGGTTTAACATGATTTTAATAACCAATCATACGATTCCACAAAACATGATCTTGAATAACTTAAATGATTGAATTCATGAATCAATTTAAGTTAAACCCCCCATAGAAAAACCTGTATGCATTAGACGACCATTTCATCCTAGTATGAAACTCTTCATTAGTGAACATTTACGATCCCACTTATATGGATTCATAAAAATTCAACCATTAAATTACCATTATCTCCACAAACTCTCTATATTGATATTTAAAAAATGTATCTAGACGTTACAAGTAAATCAATTTCAATAAAATTTATTTCTCTAGCTGAAATCATGAGTCAATTGAAGCTAGACCACCATGGAAAACTTGGAAGCACTGAACGGCCGTTTCTGTTATTTCTGTTATCATTAACTAAAATTTTGATAGAGTATAATCTCACGATTTCAGTGTATTTTCACTGTAAAATGAATGTATTTCTCAATTTACAGTTATCTTTTGTACCAGTTAATAAGTATTATTATTATTAGTAGTAGTCTTATTAAATATATATTACTTACCACTATTAATTCTGGTGTATTTGTCAAAGTGATGAAATTAACGTCATGTTTTATTCTAATCCATATATCTGTTAAATGTATCCTCTCTAGAATAAAACAATAAACTGAAATTAGATTATTTAACCATTGGAAATTTGTAACTTTTTAATTCGAACTAAATAAGATTTATTGGTGAAACTATAATTTATGGACGACCTTTGACAGTATCCACCTACATATTAGGGCTAACTGAGGGTTATAAAGCAGTTTGAAGAATAAGGATTATCATTTACAGTTGATGATTTAGGTTAAGAATTAGCTATAATGTCAAAATTCTATCTAACCAAATGGGTGAATGAATTTCGCGACAAAATCTAAGACTTGTTGACGTAAATCTGACTGGTTCGTCCATAACTTATAGTCTCGCCGATTTATTAATGACACTATCCAAAAAATCATAAATTTACTAGTGTAACATATAATAAATCATCTATTACTAAATAATCTTGATCAATTTGGTTCAAGCCAGGTGACATGTTAAATACTGAAGACGGAATAAATAAATTTAAAGAAAACAAGAAACAATTTCAATTATATGCTTCAAGAGTTACTACATTACATAATTCATTACAGAATTTCTATGGTATTAGTTACAATAATTCTATTTATGATACTAATATACTTTGTTTGATTTGTTTTTCACAAGAAGCATTTTGTTGCATAATGAAGAGTAGGTTCTGGGTTCGAATCTCGCGGGGTGGGGGATCGTGGATGCGCGCTGCTGAGGAGTCCCATACAAGGACAAAACGGCCGTCCAGTGCTTACAGGTTCTCCATGGTGGTCTAGCTTCAATTGACTCATGATTTCAATCAGTGAAATTTCTAAAATCTCCACAAACCTCTACTGATAATAAATAATAACGAGAAAAAAAATTATACAATCAATTCAACTTACTCGCGAACTATTTTCAAATTGGGACGTTGTGGAATAGAGTACGAATATGTGTTTCCATTACTAGAAACAGAACTAAAAAATTGTAAAAACAAAAGAAGAAAATAAAAAGATTTAACAATAAATTATTGTTTGATAAATAGAAATATCAAATAAGTAAAACAGCCGATACCGTACATAGTTGAACTGTAAAAGATACTCCCCAAATTGCGTTTAAAGGAATTATAAATACTGAAACACGATACCACAATACAACCGCAAATAAAAACATACAATATAAACCAGCGACAATGTACCAATAAACGTTTCAACAAATCCAATTTCAACACAATTGAAATGAAAGCAAAAAACTTATCAATCAAACAATCAGACACAGTAACATTAAGACTTAACTGAAAACACTACGATAATCATCAAAATTTAATACTGTTATGTTTCAAAGAGACAGCAGATTATATGACAGTGACTTATCGATCGGATCAAGGATTCAGAATCTCGATAGTCTATTCTGGTCCGTTGTCCCCAACTCTGCTAACTCGATCAAAAAGTCTGGGTAAGGTGTAGAAAGTGTATTCTACAGACAACAGCAGATAACAAGTCAAGTCAAGCACACAAATCAAGCGTATTTATACAAATATTTACAATCGATATTGTCATGGAAGATTTTTGAACATTAATCAACAATTGACTGCTATTTGAACATTTAATCGATAGTTCATCAATTGACCTATCTGCACATCTAATCGATAAGTAAATTACAAAATTTGAGTTTTGGGAATCTATCGTCCCCAACAAATACATACCAATAAATGCATTGCATCATTCAAACTAATTCACTACTGTCAATCTCAGACACAGAGACATGCATTCCAAAACATAATCTGATATCCAAAACAATCGAGAAATTCTATTTTCTAATATTCTTAAATAACACTAATTGAAGTAAAACTAACAGAACTACCACAATAAATGACAAAGGTAACAGTGACATGTTCATCAAACAAATCAATAAGGTCATGAGCAACAATAAACAATTCTCAATAGGATAGAGGAGAAATCAGTTCACTAAACCGTGAATTTCAAGTCATACAATCACAAAACTAACATCCACAACAGACTCCACAAACTACATCATTTCTTGTTCAAAAGGAAACAACAAAATCCAAACCATATAAAGAGAACAGAATGCAAACACATTGCACACAAATAATATATAGGTCGAAATTTATTACTACAAATCTTCCGTGTTTATATGCGCATGATACCACTCACCTAGGTACTGGTAAATCACCCATTAAATTCCTTGAGTATGGAGAGGCGTTTCGTGGTTCAAATCCGTCTCGAATATTTCTGTATTGAGAAATATTTAAAATCACAACAATATAAATCACTTGAGGAAATCATTGTGTCTAAATTCATTAAAAACGAATAACTGGTTTAAGTACGTGTTTATATTCGGCTAACCCGTCGATAATATTTTGTGTGTTTTCGTGAACCCATAGTAGTTGTAGGAGTTTTTTGAAATATTCAATTAATCGAAACCATCACAGTTTATTTTAGAATTCAGCATAAAGTCGCTTTTATAATGACCTGTATTTGTATGTAGTACTGATTGTTCGATGGAAAATTACTGACATATTGAAAAGTATGATGTTGGAGAGACATTATAGCACTCACCTTGTTGTTGGTAAATCACCCATTAAATTCCTTGAGTATGGAGAGGCGTTTCGTGGTTCGAATCCGTCTCGAATATTTCTGTATTGAGAAATATTTAAAAACACGACAATATAAATCATTTGAGGAAATCATGGTGTCTAAATCAATCAAAAACGAGTAACTGGTTTAAGTACGTGTTTATATTCGGCTAACACGTCGATAATATTTTGTGTTTTCGTGAACCCATAGTAGTTGTAGGAGTTTTTTGAAATATTCAATTAATACAAACCATCACAGTTTATTTTAGAATTCAGCATAAAGTCACTTTTATAATGGCCTGTATTTGTATGTAGTACTGATTGTTCGATGGAAAATTACTGACATATTTAAAATTTTGATTTTGCATTGTCTTTAAACACTTGAAGTCTAAGGTATGTTTTCATAACTAGGAAAAGCTGAGAAATAATATTTTTTACATATTTTTAAAGATACCGTAACAACTTTCACTGTAAAAGGATGTATTTAAGCATTCTGATCAAATCACATGACCACTTAGAAAGTGATTCTATGGACAGAATAAAAAAACAACTAATATTTGATTTCCACTATCCCAAGAGCACAAAGTCAATCCTTGTCCTCAAAGTATATCATCATCGTACCATACGACATTCTATAAATCCTAAGAGTTTATTAACTGGCAATTTTAGATGTTGTGGTCTCAGTATGAGTGACGCAGACAAATATCGTTAATGGCTATCTAACACTTGACAGAAAAGTAGATCAAAGGCGGCAAAGAATAACGGATATGAGAATGGCTTCTTACAAACATTAAGAGGATCTGTGTGACCCAACTCCATTTAACCATGCGTTAATCAATATTTATAGTCAGCAAAAACAAGTTACAGATATGTGATGAGTAAGACCACAAATGCACATACATACGCGTATATAAAAACTGAGGTTGATATTGATAATAAGAGACATGGTAGAAATGTGGTTAGAGAAGAACGAGTAGATTGATTTGTCAAGAGGCTAGTATAACAATTGTGATCTTGACATAATACCAGCCCCAACACCATAAAAGATTTTTGATGTGACATTATTCATCAGTTAGATGTATAATTTTCTAGTAAATCATCAGTGCTCTAATCTCTTAATTTTTTAAAAGTGTTTTTAATGCATAATATTTAATCATTAGTCATTCTTTATTGTGTTTAGCACTTTATTCATTAACTGAAATGTTACACTCAATGGCAATTAGCTGACTAAAATAAAACAACTGCAAATAACAAACTTGAAATAAATGATAATGGTTAAATTACAAACTGAAAAGCAAAACCACATACTAATAGAGTCCGATCGTATAAATCATGTATTATTAAAGAAAATAAGCAGAAGTGGTCAAATATTCTCAAACATATATATTAGTCTATATTTTGTAATATAAATGATAGGAATTTAGAGTTTCAGCTTAAATTTACTCTAAAAATTCTCAATCACTTTGTTTACAAACTTCTCTATCAAAACAGTTATTATTTGATGAAACCAACCAAACTGTGACGGCCTGATAATAATACAGATTTTGCAACTAACTTATTGATAAGTGAATGAATATGCATTTATGTATCTTGAAAATGACTAGTTTTATTATGATAAAACTATTTAAGCTTAATTTTTATTTTATACCAGCACAACCTGTATCACTGACAAATAATTCGTTATTAAATGGCCAGAGAAAACGTGTCTTTGATCTCTTGATTCTGTAGTTTGTCTTGCAATACCATGATTTTACACAACAGCTTTGGATAACAGTATGACAACAACCTATATATGAGTATGACGAATAATAATCATCTGCTCACTAGTAACTGACTTCAAGAGGCATATCCTGAATTTCTAGTGAGAAGCCGTAACCGGTAGATTTCAACCAGGTCTGTTGTGAGATACCAGCTCACTGAAGACAACGGTGTACGGTGGCACAATTTCATGGATTAGTCGAAGTTAGGCATTAACACCATTGAATACCAGCTCAGTGGTCTAACGGTTAAGCTCTCGTGCGCCGGACTGATAGGTTCTGGGTTCGAATCTCGCGGGGGGCGGTATCGTGGATACGCACTGCTGTGGAGTGCCGTACTGTGACGAAATGGCCATCCAGTACTTCCAGGCTTTCTATGGTGATCTAGCTTCAATTTACTCATGATTTCAACTATTGAAATGATAGACTCAAACTTTTGACATTATTCAACCATCTGATGAAACGTGAACGTCTCCAGGTCAGTAGTAAAATTATTCAATTATTTTCATTCAGTTTTTTGTGTATACTGTCTAAGTTTATTGACTTGAAAGGAAATGTGATTTTAAACGAATATAAACAAGTGCATCATGTAGTTATTGATAGACTTGGCATACGTAAATATTCATTGTAACCTATGTTTAGACACTAGAAGCTCGCCTGTAGTCACTTTCTTTTGATTACACTAGGAAAATAAGTTGGGTAAATAATTTACAACAATCATATTTAAATTTAATCGCAAAATACTATGTGAATCTCAATAACGAATAGAACATTCTCTGAAAAAAATGTAAATTTAAAAAGTTGTTTCAATCAAATGGAATATTTATTGAAAAGCAATTTTTATAAACCATTATTATTTGTGCAGATATTATATTACTGACCTAGGTTCTGACACATTATTCATTAAATTATTTGAACGATTTAATTTCACAGGAATATAGTGAGGTTCATAAGTTTCCCGATTGTGTCTGTAGTGAAATGAAAAGAAAGGAACAAATCGAAGTATAATGACATAAATTAACTAACTGCTATAATCACATACATAATGTAGACAGTTGGATAGCAAAAAGAGGAACGAAAAAAGAGAACAAGAGCACTAGATTAATCATGACCACATTTTATAAGAAAAGTTTATATAAACTAAATTTTTAAAAAAATAACTTGAAAGTTAGCTACAAATAACAACATGTTATTAAACAATAAAAAAAAGAACTTAAATCGATAAACCATATATAAGACATTCACTACAAGTCAAATGAGTAAGCTTTGGTGGCGTAATTCCTGAAAATGAAATGATATCAACATAGTAAGAGAATATAATAATAAACATACTTTGCAATTGCTGTCATTATAGACAAACGATTTCTTAAAATAAGTAAAAACTGTGGTTTGTACCATTCAAGTGAGAAAATAGTTATTGATGTAGATAATGAGTTATTCCATCTTTTATAGCACATCAACAACTTAAACCGACATTCTCAGTTACGTGTTGATTTTACTCCCATTTTCTATGAATCAACAAATATTAAAAATGGTAAAAACATATTAAATTGTTAGCAAGAAGTTGTGGAGATCGTTGAGTTGCATTGAAATCATTAACCTATCAATGATAGACTTTAAAGAACCTAAAGGCCGTTTCATCCAAACAGGAGATGCTTCATCGATACACACCCACGAGCCTGGGTGGGGAAATCGATCACAGGATTTCTAGACTCACACACAACCATTTAACCTCTAGGCCAGTTAGTTGACATCCATCACATCCCCATTAGTGGCTAGCTTCGACGTGAAATTTCCGGAGTTCTAGTGGAGAGTGGTGATCCATGGAGTTGATGCGTCGGTTGTGAAACGGTGAGGTGTCTAGTACTATCTCAAGTTCATATTGGGTTGTCCTAACTGCCAACAGACCAATTTATTTATTCTTCTTGAGTTTCATTTTAACCTTGTATATTATTCGCTTACAAACCATGACTACTTTTATATGAGCGTATGTGTGTATCCCTCACCCTATTCATCACAAGTATTTGGCGTTTCTTTATCTGGCTATAAATATTGAGTCAGGTTTAATGAAACCGAGTTTGCACACTTGCGTTCTATGATCTGCTTCTACGCTTAGTTTCGCCGCTTGTTTGTCTGAATCAACGAGTGTATGACAAATATTTGTATTCGAAATTCATTCTCGTATTTGACTTATTTTAGCCCGTTATTCACTAACGCAAAGTAAGTCGATAGTAAGATACGAGGGTTGACTGCATGTAGATTTTGGTAGGATCATCAAACGATTAAACGAAGTCCGCTATACGAATAACAAAGACAGTCTCCCACTGAAGACGGTGGAAAATGGCCGCGTACCATCGCATATCCATTGAAGCTAGACATAAAAACCGTTGGATGCCGTTTCAATGGTCCAGAAGTTAGACGTTCGAGCGCGAGCCTAAGGGTCCTGTGTTCAGTTTTCGCATACAGGTTCGTGGATGTTGAGGCTTCTCATACTAAGACAAAACGGCACTTCGGTTCCCTGAAGTTTCCAATGATGGTCTAACATTGATTGGTTCATGGTATTAACGAAATACAGTGATTATTACATAATCAATCATGCCCTATCTTATGAAAAAGAAAATCACACTAAATCAATACAAAATATATTATTATTTTGAATAAATTTCGGATCAAAGTAAAACCATTGCTATACTTAATAAGATACCATACTGACTATGAATCAAACATTAGACTAAACAATTGTCCGGTTACATTGAAAATGAAACTAATACTGGACAGAACTTACAGAGTGAAAAATGTGACCCCATCCGTTCATCGTTTTCTAACAACTTCTTATTCTTTCGAAGCGGATTAGATTTTCAAAACTCAGTAAATCCATGGTTTTAACAGTGGTGATAAGAAAATAATTTTAATATACTTTTCACAAGTAATACGGTCAAACCATTTCTCTAACTCAACAACAGCAAAAGCGATTAGAAGACTAGGAACAATAATTAACGGAAATATCGTCTGTAAACTATTATTACTCTTAAACTGGTAATTTATCAGATGAAGTAAATGCAGCTTTGAAGTTTGTATTCAAGCTTTATTTCAGCTTAAAATTCAATACAGTTCCCAATGTTTATTATGGAAGAAATAAAGAGCTGTTTATGATTACTTTGGCTAAACCGAATATGAGTTCAAAAGCTGATGTTCATCTCAACGAATGGAGATCAAGTGAACTTCGTTTTCCTAAGACAATCACTTTTAAAAGTAATCTGGGAGTTTTTTCCAGTTTTAGCATTTGTTTTAGCTGTCCAAGGTTATCTAATAAATCTGATAGTAACTATGGTGCTCATTTGTATAAGATGAATGGCGAATCCAGGAGGTTACATATTGTTTCAATATATAAAGTTCACTTCAACTGTAATATGTTTATATCTCATGCAAACAAGGTTTATCAAATGCATAACAAGAATAATCATTATTTCATTACTATGTGAGAGGAAAACTCAAATAGATTATTAAGTTAAAGCATGATATTGAATTGGTGAAACGATGAAAAACACGAAAAGATTCTGTTGTCAAATTAACTCATTAGACATTATGTCTGAAAGAAGAATATAGTGTATCCATGGTACTTCAGAGACCTTTGACAGTTTAGAAATAATTACCTCAATATGTATCACTTGTAAATAAATAATCAAATAGGAGTTGAATCAATGCATAAATGAGAGTATTGATAAAATTGTTAATGTGCTACGGAAGATGAAATAAAACACTCGACAGTGTTCTACTATCAACTTTAGAACAACAGTCTTCCCGATCCGATTCTCTGTGAATTTAAGACTATTTCATCTATTTAAAAACAGATTTCAAATAAATGACACAATCAGCAAATTTATATTACAATATTTCCTTATTTATGTAAACATTATACCACTCACTGAACGTCCGGCAAATCTCCCATTAAATTATTTGAACGACTGGCATATGGTGATAAGCGGCGCGGTTCATGTGCAGTATAAGTGCTTCTAAATTAAACGTTATTTAAAAGATGCAAATTTAAAATGAATTATTCGAGAAAGTTGTTGCAAGTTACTCGACTTGAAGTATAGGAATAAAAATAGTACGAATGAAGACATGTAGTCGACAAAAAGAACAAGGGGTATCGAGAAACCTTTCAACACAATTTGACAAAAGACAGAAACATATCAATCAAACAATCAGACACAGTAACATTAAGACTTAACTAAAAACACCAAGATAATTATCATAATTTAATATATACCAATAAATGCATTGCATCAATGAAACTAATCCACTACTGTCAAACTCAGACACTGAGACATGCATTCCAAAACATAATCTGATATCCAAAACAATCGAGAAATTCTATTTTCTAATATTCTTAAATAACACTAATTGAAGTAAAACTAACAGAACTACCACAATAAATGACGAAGGTATCACTGACATGTTCATCAAACAAATCAATAAGGTAATGGGCAACAATAAACAATTCTCAATAGGATACAGGAGAAATCAGTTCACTAAACCGTGAATTTCAAGTCATACAATCACAAAACTAACATCCACAACAGATCCCACAAACTACATCATTTCTTGTTCAAAAGGAAACAATAAAATCCAAACCATATAAAGAGAACAGAATGCAAACACATTGCACACAAATAATATATAGGTCGAAATTTAGTACTACAAATCTTCCGTGTTTATATGCGCATGATACCACTCACCTAGGTACTGGTAAATCACCCATTAAATTCCTTGAGTATGGAGAGGCGTTTCGTGGTTCAAATCCGTCTCGAATATTTCTGTATTGAGAAATATTTAAAAACACAACAATATAAATCATTTGAGGAAATCATGGTGTCTAAATCAATCAAAAACGAGTAACTGGTTTAATTACGTGTTTATATTCGGCTAACACGTCGATAATATTTTGTGTGTTTTCGTGAACCCATAGTAGTTGTAGGAGTTTTTTGAAATATTCAATTAATCGAAACCATCACAGTTTATTTTAGAATTCAGCGTAAAGTCGCTTTTATAATGGCCTGTATTTCTATGTAGTACTGATTGTTCGATGGAAAATTACTGACATATTGAAAATTATGGTGTTGGAGAGACATTATAGCACTCACCTTGTTGTTGGTAAATCACCCATTAAATTCCTTGAGTATGGAGAAGTGTTTCGTGGTTCAAATCCGTCTCGAATATTTCTGTATTGAGAAATATTTAAAAACACAATATAAATCATTTGTGGAAATCATTGTGTCTAAATTCATTAAAAACGAATAGCTGGTTTAAGTACGTGTTTATATTCGGCTAACCCGTCGATAATATTTTGTGTGTTTTCGTGAACCCATAGAGGTTGTAGGAGTTTGTTGAAATATTCAATTAATCGAAAATATCATACTTTACTTAACACTTCAGCATAGTCACTTTTATAATGTGCTATTTTTTTATGTAGTACTGATTGTTTTATTGAAATTTACTAACATATTGGAAAGTATGATGTTGAAGAGACATTATAGCACTCACCTTGTTGTTGGTAAATCACCCATTAAATTCTTTGCGTATGGAGAGGCGTTTCGTGGCTCAAATCCGTCTCGAATATTTCTACTTTTATAAGTAATTAAAAAATGTTTTCAAAATTAATCACATGGTGAATTTATTATATCTCAAGTAATTATGAGTTAACTGGTTTAATGTTCTTATGCAATGAAATATCATGCACCTTTTTATCCTCAATTACCGTCATTTTCCTAACAACGTGAATCAATATTGTTGTTCCAATTACTAATTATTATTTTACTGGAGATCTATATGATGTTGAAGTTATGCCCAAATTTAGTGTGTGATGCAATACCTATATTTTAGGAAAACGTATTCTTATATCATGTATTTTCTTTCTCTCTTTTGTTCACTAAGAGAATAAACTACATATTATTTGATAGGACAAAGCCTTTGACATGTCAGCTAGTTGCGATACCAATTCTGTTTGGCCTTGTATCTGCCTATTTATGTTTTTACCCATTTTATTTTGGTCGATTTCTTTTCATGTTCATATGTAGAATGTGTTACTGATTGTAATGAAAACTACTACGAATACCTCAGGTAAACCAATATTTGTTAAATTTTAATCGTTTTCAGTCAGAACAATAACAATAACTTACTTACTGGTTAGCGTTTTTTAGAGAGTTAGTTAGTTTTCTACGGGTTGGAGTTGCTAAACCCATGCCCAACCCTCCTTTATCCGGGCTTGGGATCGGCAGCAGCCCCCCTCCACAATAACATTTCCCATAATTCGTATTTCAACAAGACACTTGATGTTTTATTCTGATTTGTTATCTTTACTTTTAATTTGATAACCTCTCTCTGATGAAAGTCAGGCTTCATTACTATACATTTAGGGTTGTTTTGTTGCTGTTTCCTCTTAGTTTAATATCTTGCCTTATTCGTGAGTTTTACTGTTTTAGGGTCATTGTCTAACCGTTGTGTGTCAGTAGCAATATTGTCCTGTTCGTAATAACGTTGCATGTTAGGGAATCTATATCATTCTTAACCTGAATTATCATAGGCCTAACTGAGCTGATTTCAAGAAATAAAAAATGAGAAATAAATAAATATTGTAGGGAAACAATGAACGAACAGACAAATTTTTGCTAATCTGTTTCTAAAAATTCAATTCTGTTTGATAATTATCGAAACAAGAACTGATGGAGTGCTTTTACCTGTACGAATCGATCGGACGCGAGCGATCATAATCATTCCATTTTGAATACGACCTACAGCGGAATGATAAGAATAAAAAATAACTGCTTGTTCAACTCGTTGTATTAGGAAATAATCACTTTCTTTATCATAAATGTAAAAAAGTGATTATAAGCAGTATATATTACTGAATAACTAAAACGTTGAGGTCTTCAACCTTAATTGATACTATAATTTATGCCAATCTCGTAGGTCTACTTGCACGAAAATGAAAGAACGATCAAATGTGTTGTATAAGTAAACAATATGTTTGACAAAAACTACCCGTTAAAGTGAATCCGAAATTCATTTCTTTAGTACCTATGGATGCTATTTGTAATTTGGAAAACTTTACCACAAACCTGTTGATAAGATTAAAGAAACACAGATTAATCGCCAATCACGATTTATCTCTAGGCTTTTCTTACAATAACTATAATGGTAAGGGATATAAAGAAACAGTATTTCATCTGAAATGAATTTACCATTGATCTTTATTTGTGGAAAATAACAGGTTGGGAAAAACAGTGACTAAGTTAATAAAAGCAGTTTTTATAATTAAAATAACTTTCAAAGCGTACATATTATATTTAGTGAAAATAAAAAAGTATTTTATGTTGCTCTGTGTTAATAATGTTTATATTGCGAAAATAATTGCAAAAATAACTGAATAGATCACTAATTTCACCACGTTGATAACGTACAGAAGGAATAATTGTTAGGATGCTGTTAGTGAAGATAATTTATTACCTTGCTTTATTTGACATGTCGTTGTACATATTTGACGGTTTCATACGATCATACGCATCCTACAACATTAGATAATGGTAGAAATTCAATATCAATATATGATAGTGTGTACTTTTTCACTTGCTCATGGAATTCATATTCCAGGATACATTTTAAATATAGCTGTCCCAAATTACAGATAATCGGATATATACAGAAGTAGTATAAAAGGTATAAATGACTACAGATTATAATGATTTGCATAATATGCTGATTTTCTCAATTCACTGGCATTGTACGAATATATCCTGATCATTAATGAAACGCATTTATTCGATCATTATTTATCTCAAATAAATATAAGATTTCTATGCAAACAACAAAGATAATATTGACTCTGAAACTGAACAGCTCAAAGAGATATTCAAGAACACTTAGTGAGAATATTTATTTATTTATTTAAAATACCAGTTTCCTAAGGTAACCCAAACAAAATCTTTCATAAGAATATTTACTGTTCTAAACTGAATGTCGTCTGTTTTCTCAATAGTCCAAGTTGTTGAATTTTTAATTACGATCACGATTCATTTTTTCTTTTATTTCATGAGCCTTATTCTTTCGTCTCCCAAACCGATTAATTCACATTGTTTAATAACTACAGATTCTGTATAAACTGGTGAATTAAATCTATGAATAAGAAAATTAAGTATTGGATATTTCAATATTACTGACTCTTGTGTTGTAAGAAATTGTTTACCTAAATGTATTAAATTTGGTTTGGATTCGACCTAGGACATTATCTTATAGTAATAATCTGTATTTCTATCAAATGCAATTCAAGATCCTTATAAATAAAATAACACAATGCCTTAGTTTGTTAGTATCAAACCAGTAATTTTGAGGACTTTATCATATTAAAAGTATACATATCACTATTATTATGATAAGAATTGTTATTTTAATGATCATGAAAAAGAATCCCGTTTTCATCCAATTTTAAACGAGTGTGCAGAAGCATTTTAAATACTTATATGAAAATAATTCAACATGATGCCTGAAATATGTAGGCTTTATTTTGTAAAAGTGGCATGAATCAACATGAAGCTGTAAACAAGTGAACATAGGTTTAAATTAAAATGGTGAAACCTTGATTTCCTAGTAAATTTATTTTATGGCATATATTGTGTTCAGTGGTAGTTTTTGACAGAAACGTTTTTTACTGATTAGAGAGTTGTAAATAAAATAAATATATTTTATAGTCTTACTTCATAAGTTGTATAGTATGGATATTAAATGAATTTATAGAAACATTAATCAGAGTACAAAAAACCTTTGCCTCCAAAAAATTTATTTTTACAGCACAAATAATAACTTACGAAAGTTATGTTGCAGTTTTGAATAATGACGGGTACTCACAAAAGTTTGTCTTCAAAAGGTTTATCACCAATATTGTTGTGATTTATGATGCCTACTATACACAAACACTCTATAACTCATCCAAACTGTTATGGATCTTGATAATTACACGAAAGTTTAATACCATTTTGACCTCACAAATGTAAAATGATAGTCTCTATCCTACCGCTCTTTTCGTGTCATAATACTAGTCAAAGTCCAAATCTAACTCAATTTAAAAAACACGACCTGCTTCAAAGTTATGATGACAACGTAATGTTTAATAGTCTCAGGGCAGAAAAGTAGGTAAAATGTTAACTGGAAAAAGCAAGCAAAACTGTAGTGCATGGAAAACTAGCGCGTGCAATCGGAATGTATCTCGTCAAAATGAATTTACCATATAATTATTCACGTTTTGACCCTCAGTTGGCTGTCCTCTATAGAAACGTTGTCCATGTATTTGTTCTTTCATAACATTTTCTGGCACACCTCTGTAAAACACCTGCTGGATAAATTTCATTCAAATTTTAACGAATCAGTATCAATATCAAAGTTTTATCGTGATCAATTAGCCAATTTATTAGCTAATCATATGATCTAACCAGGAACAAAGTACTCTCAGGAACTAATATTCAATGCTCTTAAGTGGCCTACCTGTATAGCTACTTAGAACATACTTTAAATTTTTAGGCGTAACTTACAATGTATACATCTAAAGAGCGTGTTCAAATAATTAAGATGACGATTCGAGCAATATATATTGACTTAAGTACTGTAAGAGATTTCATGCAAACAATGCAGTCCGTCGATTTTAATTCATTGTACAAGTTCTAAGCAAGGTCCAATCGGCCAAGCAATAAATTCTACCGTGTTCGAATTCAGAAAATGGTCATTATTCACATACCCTCTAAAACGCTTGCAAGACTGATTTTCTTTTTACTGCACGTTCGATAAAGTTATTGAGTAAAGCAAATCATTTTCTTAAATTTATGGGTACTGATTTTAAACCTATAGTCTGATGTAACAATGAGTTGTATGTAAACAAATAATTTAGCATCAAATAAGGTAGCTTAGATCATAATTCATATTGAATAAGCAATAGAATCCAGACTCTGGACATTTCGAAATGTTTTGGTTTAAAATAAAATTATTATCTGTAAGTTTTATTCGCTTTGTTAGAGGGGGAAAAAATTTCACAAAAATTCTTAGCACTAACCACTAAGTCAGTAAACAAGATCGAACAATATACCATTCACTCCTTTGTTTCTACGTTAGTCAAGAACACGATTAAATGCAATCACTACCAATAGACGATTTCGGAAAAACAGTTCAAAAACGGTGTAATTAAACTTCTTTACTTCAAAAATCATGTCCAAATACATAATAGCGTACACATATTCGTCATTTTATCCATTATAAATATTTCTAATGTATCGTTTGTGTGCTTTGTTTTCTTCAACTACATAATACAAAAGACTTTTGTCTTCAACTAGTCTAAGTGCCTTTTAGTTCGGTTTATACTGCCTACTTGGACATCGAAACCACCAGCACGATTATTACATCTGATTATTTAGCCTATCGAAGTAGGATAAAAAGCCTTCCATAAAATTCGTCTTTTACCTAATCTGAATGTAGTCAGTGAGCGACTAAACGAAGATAGCGAACAACCAACGTCGTGCGTCAATATCTTCCTGAATTCTCACTGTCCTGTTTGGTCAAACAAAGCATAAGCGACGGCCTATCAGAATCCATCCAGAAATAATTTGTTCGGCACTTTCACTTCATACTATAATTACTTCAAAGAGAACACGGAAAGTAACAATGAAGACCTCGAAGACACGAAGGATAAGTCGTGCGGGTTCTTCATACTGACTAGGTGGGGTCAAATGATGGACTATGTTGCTTGCTGTTGGAGTAGGCTAGAAGAATACCAAGAGCGACCGAACCATGACCTGGCACTAGTTCTTGGAGTAGCTAAAACTGGTCTGAGATACATGGATAGGTGTAGACTAACAGAATGAATTTCAAGTGACTATCACAACTCGTAGCTGAAAGCTTTGGGTGACATGGCTTAGAATCGCCTTCAGTGGAGCAGGTAGGTTTGTTATTTCTCTTTCCGTGAAGTTTGTGTTCTAAAATATCATGATACCTTTGAACCGATTTTTTGTCACCCAAGTTCGTCTAGTAATCTTAGTATCTTTCTTACCTCTACTACTCCGGTATTTGTTTAGAAATAATTTTAATTAGCAGCGTTAGTGCAGTATTAGAACTTGAACCAATATATAGATATATGTCTATCAGGTTTTAGGTTACATATGACTAACTGAAACTAATCTATGGATTTTCAAACACAGGTTTATGTTCAAGACAGGTCACAGATTCTATAGATTGTCACTTTGGTATCATACTAGACCAGACAAAGTGGATCTAAAAATTAAGGTGATAACTAGATGAATAAATAATTTAAGTGCTTAAAGCATCTACGGGAAGGTTAACCAAATCTCAAAAACATTCTGTAAACTCAAAGCGAATTCTGTTTTTGAATTACATTTTTAACAAACTCTGCGCCGTAACCGAAAATACGATAAATGAAAACAAAGTACATAAACTTCTAGTTCATCAGCTCAATATAAGCCCTAATTAAAGCTTCTGAAAATGTTGTGCAATTGTCAATGTTAATTCTTTAACGGGTACACAAATTGTGAAACCTTACTATATTGCAGTTTCATGTTTTTATGAACGAAAAAGAGAACTGATTTAAATACCAAGGGTTTTCAAAAGACACACTAAATAAACACTCAATTATCTGACGATTGACATAAAACTGAGAGCAGTCACCTTTCTAGGTAGCAACACTTATGTTAAAAAACTGAATTATTCGCTTATAAGGATTGCAAAACTCTGAAATTAAGTTGTCTTAAATCACTGCAAACTGCTTTAGAATCCTTCGTGTTTAGAAACTTATTTAAACCGACAAAAATGAGGTGTGAGTTGAGTTTACATTATACCGTTACTACAAGTTATAAGTTTTATTTCATGAACATCAGATAAAAGCATCAATTACTTTGATAAACCCTAAAAGTCAATGCAATGCAGATAATGTTTTCGTATAGACGATTTGACAATTAGCAGTATATATTTTTAAGAATAAAGCCATCTTAAATCTCAGAAGCCAAAATTTACTGTCATGTACAATGGAAGATAAAGAGCTAAAGTTCTTAACTTTCAATCATATCGTATACTAATAACTCGCTCCTCTCAATTTATTTTAGTCAACCACGTTCTGACACAGATAGACGTGACTATAAACCTGACACATGAATCAAGATTCATATTATGAGCAAAATTCAAACTATTCGTTTCAAAAACATGTGATGCTTAACTCCCTTATGATGGCTTTCCCAGAGAAGAACACTATGTGTTGAATAAATACCATGACGAATTTGAATAAAATTTCAGAATCTTGGTGCTCAAATCTTTCTGAGCAAAGTAAAGGGGCTTTGCATTTTATGATTTACATGTTCGTTGAACGACTAAAGTGTAAAAAATGTAGTATGCAATGTAATATGTAAAATGCTTTTCCGATAAAATAATCATGACTATAACCTTTAGTCTGACTAGATAAACGGTTGTTTCCAGATTTAAAATTCTAGTGAGCACACAATAAACTGAAGCTTATCCAAACACATCTCTGAATCTGAGATAAAAAATGAAGTGCAGTCATAAGTATAAGCTTACTTTCATGCGATCGTCAACAGGTTCCGAGTAATTGCGCAAATTATTTTCTCCTTCTCTAATAAAAGAACTTCTGACGTTTTGTACCATATCATCAGTCCTGTAAGGAATCTTTTTTTCTTTACGACAGCGAGGCATACCGAGATACCACACGTTACTCTCGGATACTTAAAATAGAGTTATGAAATCACTTGAGCTCAAGGTCACATTTTGGTACACTCAAACACAACAATAGATAAACCCTATCATGTTGTACTAATGGTAACACTATATCAGATAAAACATGACAGAAACAAAAGCCAAGATGATTTTCTTAAGCCTGACGAGATGCTTATTGAAAAACAGTTTAACAGTAGTTCTACGCCGATTATATTTGATTCATTAGGAAGGAAATTTTATTTGCAAAATCTCAGTGAGGGAACTTTCAGTAAACTCAACGCTTCAGTTGGCAGTCTGGTGCGAACTTTCCGTGGAAATCTGATCTAACATTAGACTAGTGTAATAACTTCCCAATCAAACGCTATGTAATTGATGAACTTACTTTTCATCAGATCTACGTACCCATATCTACACAGTTATTTTAGCACACTTATTTCACATTTGATAATTCTGATGTTTTGTTGAATATGCTAGGACCGGGGGCATTGAGTGTACTTCAATTCCAGTCTCCCAACTTATTGCAAATATAGTTTTTCCTAATTTTAACACTAACTAGTGGTTTCCAATTTTACCACTATTAGAAGAAAAGCTGACTACAGAGAGTGGACATTAACAACGTAGGTTTTCTGTGTCAATGGTTGAATGCTTACTCGAGTATGACGTTAACGATGTGAAATTCCAGCTTACTTGAAAATACCACCACATCGTTAATTAAGTTGGATTACCCTTTCGTCATATCCACGTAATATGGCTGATGATCATGCAACACGAATAACGTTATTACAGAAATATATCAATAAGAGTAGGTACAAGGAAAATAGTGAAACCACTTTACTACGGACCGGTTCATGGTGTGCAGTTTTTTTATGAACGTCGGTTGACCTTGATGTGGATCAATTAAATATTGAATATTAAACGGCAGGAATGACGAATATTTTAGTTAGGTCCGATGAAATTTCTCTGACCATAGAAGAGTAAAGATCGAAGATTGTGCATGTGGTGTTACCTAACTTATTGCAAGATCCATTTTGAAGGTTTTCTGTGTAAAAATACTTGTGTGCGCACAGTCGTAATTTGTTCCTATTGCCTTCTTCAGTTGTACACATTGTTAGTTTTTTTATTACATTTAAGATGTTAGTGTTTGTATTTTGTTGTGGTTTTTATTTTTCTTACGCCTTCACTGAGTTTCCGTGTTTCTTCCTGAACTGCGTTTATGTTATTTTAGTTGATTCTCAGTCTTGAAGGCTGCCACATTGATATGAGTTGTTTGCATTGACTCGAATTGTGCATTTTTGATTGTGAATTGAAACACTCTTCCAGAATTGGAAACAAATACTGTCTTTCAAATGAACCTGTACGTGACCAGTCCAGAAAGGATAAAATATCATCTATTTGTTGCGAATGGTTTGCATACTATTCGAACGATTATTGGTTGAATAACTGAGCGAACCGTCATTGACCCAATCACCTTTTTTTTGGTTTCAACTGGGCAGCAGCGCGTATTTAAACTACCTAGACGGTTATTCTTCAGTCCAAAACTTAGTTTGGATTCTAAGGTTACTCAGTATTTGAAAATCACAACGATCATCACATACCTGACTTCCGTCCCTACCTTAAAAGCTAATAGCTTATTGAAGAGAATTAAGATTTTAAGTAGACGAGTTTGTATTTGCCCAATACCTCAGTAGGGAGGAAATTTAACCTCTCCATGTCAAGTATTTTATCTGTGACATAACTAAATATTTACTGCTAAATCTCTGAATAGGCTGGGAAAAAGTACTCCTAGTTAAAGTACCTCTGGTCAGAAAAATGTTTTAAAGATTTAATCATTGAGATCATTATAAGTAACGAATCTCGCTTGGGGGGATTTCTTTGAATGCCATTCTATGGGACGATTTTATTTAAAAAAAGATGATATCTATTATTTGATCAGCTTTATCTGATAGATGATTGTGACAATACTGCTCACTGAGTGCGTAGTCATCCGACGACGATGCCTGACTGAGCGCCCTCATCTGGTAATGTCCAGTAAAATCAATAACGCGTGCAACAGTTTTGAAGAACTACGGAAATATTTATTTAAAGGGTACATGTTAAAAGCTACCATTCACATATCTGTTTCCGAAAATTGTTTATTATCAGTACACTTATCTTAATCTCTAAATCGTAGATTTGTCATGATGTTACCAACTAATCCATAAGGTCTTACGTGGAAGAAATACCATTACCTTTACTGTCTCAGCCTATCGTGACTGTCGTCAATATGATGTTCAGAGCACCTGAAGGACACATTTGGACTTAAAATGTAATAATATAAATTTAATTTGGATAGAGATGAGTTGCACAGAACAACCACACCTATAAGTCTGAACCACAACATACAGATCAGCTACTTCCACGCTTTTTAGTTTTGATCTTTTCTATGTGTTACATGTTGAAAGTAAACCTCTTCAGTAATTAAATGCTCGTCTTTAAAGATCATGTGGTTAGGGGCCGATATCTGTACACATCGATCATTATCATTCTCAGTACCTTTGTGTAGGATGTGACATAATACATTGGAATGATTAGCAGATTTTTAAAAATGTTTCTCACTATACACCCTCGCAATCCTCTACACCTGATACTGAATTGTGACATGAATAACAGGTTCATTTATATGCAGTTTCAAAAGAATCTTAGAATACGTGCTTAAGATTCAGGTCTATTTTTAGAAGAATGAAATGATGTCCAGGATCTCTGAAAAATATAAAATGTCCAGAATCTAATTAACTTGCCCCGTCATACAACAAGATATGGCCAAATCTATTGCGACTTACTGGTTTCGGTAGTTACTCTGACAACAATTTAGGCTTTTTGCCTTGAGAAAGTAGTCATATAAATGTATTTGGGATCGTCATAAGCCTTGGACTAACTGAAAACTGCAAAACGTCTATTTTCAAACTGATATGTGAACGACTCGACCGGTTGCTAAATAAGAGGACTTTATCAGTTGACGTATATGTTCTTAGAGTAAAGGAGATCGACAATTTCTTGTTTTGTGTATCTTGCTTTGTTTTTGGCGTTCAGGAAAAACTGCACCAAAATATGGTCCATTTGAAGAGCAATCAATTCAAGAAAATAAAGAGGCATCGAAATTGATCTTAATGTTTCCATCTTATTTACCTTATCACAGGTAGGTGACACAGTTGGATTGAATATATGACCCAGCAGTTCTCTTGGTTTTGCTTGTTTTTATTTTTCCCTGAATCTGTTAGCAACACTGTGATACGAGAACAGCTATTTAACGAATAAAGATCATCAGAAATAATTTCAACATCTACGATGGATTCTTAGGGATGAATTTACAGATCGTTGCACTGCTTTGATAATTTTATACTATTTTTTTGTAAAATTGTTATCTACCGGCACAATGAAGTAAAAAATCTGTGCTAGCCATGCCTTATGTTGCATAATCAAATTTGACTGATCACGGATTTTGTTTTTACAGATTCACGGGTCATCTACATTCATTCTCTAATCAGATAGAAGAAAACTAGTGAAATAAGTTTGCATGTATTTATAATTGAATGAAAATCCCACAGAAATGCACTTTACATGGAAGTATTTCTTTGTTTCTTTTTGTAAGCACCGTTTCTCTTATTGTCCTCTGTATTCGCGTACTTTACATAAGACTTTTGTTTTTTTTCATGTTACTATAGTCTCTCCAGATTTCTGTGGTTTTCTTACTACAGTTCCAATTTTCATGCGTGAACTGATCGCTCATGTACAATTTTCTGAGACTGAACCAAGTTCATTGTATGTTAGAAATACTCATTATATTATTATTCATGCATTTCTTCGATATTTTTTGATTTACAGTTGACTGTCAACTTTTTAGGGACAAACTAAAATGAAGTGTCTATTTTCGGGTAGCATCCTTTCTATTCATTAATAGCAATTACTTTTTTATTGTAGCAAGTTGGTTTGATGGAGTGTTATGATAAATTTCTCATGTAACTGATGAAAACCTACTGTTCTTGATCTGTCTTATTTCGTACTTGCATACCACTTTTATACGTTTTTATGTTTTTAACTACGTTATTTCAAAAACGTTGTTGATCATAGTCGTCTCTGTCTTCCATTTGGACTCGGGGTGGTGTCAGTCAAAATGCATACAGCATAGACATTTTGAAATTTCTCGAATTCTGAACTTTGTGGCTACCTATACATCCTAAAAGTAATACAGTAATTAGTTGAGCAAATACTCCTGTGCGCACAGCTTTCATACTGTCTATTATTTTGTTAATTAAAGCCAAATGTAAGCGTTAGCCAATATCACTTTATCACAGCCAACTGAAGAAAGCAATATAGAAACAACAATCGATCGACAGTTCTAGTACGCCAACCTTTTGGATAACACCTGTCGTTGTTGAAGTATTCCCGTTCAAATAGAGAATGGGACACATGTAGTCAACTTTTTAACTGCCAAACCAGAATTAGTACACAAACAATGACACAGGAATCGGCTTATTCAACGACAACGAGAAAATCATTCATAGTTACAATAATATTGGCGACAATGTCATCTACCCATGCCTAGATAATGTAGATCACTAACGTAGATGATCTATGTCGAGTGATTGGAGGTCTACCCGAGTTAGACGGGATTGGTGTGACGAATCAACTAACGTTGAAGTCACGCCTCGTGGTGGGCAACTCACACGAACCACCCCACTGATGTATCAAAGTATCACAACTACTTTGAAGACTGTACAACATAGAGGATATTCAGTGATCCAACTGCCGGATGATTTGGCTAGGGCTCAGTGACATTTCACTGACCCTACAATAATAATAATTAGATCACGTACCAACCATACCTTTATTAGAAACATTCGCTGACTCTGAACCACCATCACCGGCTGCAAAACCCAGACACAACGCAATTCACAAACAGATTCTTAAAATGTAAACTCTGGCACCAGAAAACAAAATTTCAGTGCGATCGAATAAGATCAATGGTCACGGAACTCTAGCTATCTTGAGATTACCCAACGTTAGGTATTGTTCTT